AAAGAAGCCATCTTCCAACCTTAAACAGAGGGGGGTGGACTCAGATTTCAGCTTTCAAAAACAATGCAGCGATAGAGTTGATCCCTTCCCGCTTTCATCGTAACCCAAACCCCTTTACAGGGGAACAGAAGACCTTGCCTATTCAGCCAGGCCAACAATTCCCTCTAATGACCCACCCTTTCAGAGACATAGACAGGTATGGGGTATTGCAGGCTAACAAAGAGGCCAAATGACCCTGATTCCAAAGTGGTGAACCCGTTTGTACGTTTCAATTCGCATATTTTCGAACAAAAACAAGGCTTTGTTGTGCTACAGTATAAAGCCTCCAACTCAACGTTATTTCTGACATTTTGAATTGAAAAAGCTTCCTGGATGGGAAGAGAAACGTCTTCAAACTTGGAAACCAAGTGGATTGTTTTTTTTTTTACTTTTTTTTTGAATGACTATGACCTGGATAACTGAGAATCTTCACCAGCATGAAAAGAATGTGATCTTTAAAATGCATTTTTGAAAGAATGAAATTCATAAAAACTTACATTTGAAAAAAACACTGAAAATAAAATATTTTATAAAAAGATGAAAAAAAAAACTGTTAAAAAGGAAACATTCAAAAACATAAAATCCTTTATGATATGAAAATGACATACTTTTAATTTTAGCCATTTTTCTTTTTCTCCTCGTGTGAATATGGCGCCCTCTAAACTTATCTATTAATTAAGACGTTCAAAAGGCATAAATTAATCTCTGATCAAGAGAATATCTCTTTGATTTTTGGTTTCCCTGCACAGCAGCAGAGCAGTTTGCAGTGTGTTAGTGACTCCTTATGAACCTTTTTCTACTCTATTATATATAAATATGCTATAACTTAGAAATTCATGTGTCTTGGAAACTTTAGATTATTTTATTTATCATATTTTGCACTTCAAACAATCAAACAATAACTTTATTTTATTATTTTTAATGTAATTCATGGACAAATAGTCTTATATAACTTCTCAAACCAAGGAAAAAAATAAGTGTATTTTTTCTTATTTCAAGACTATTTCAAATAGAAAAGATAATTTACATTTAAAATAAGAAAAGAAAAGCAATTCTGTTATACTATTTCCCCAAAATAAAATCTAAATATTTTCTTTTAAAGGCAGAAATACTTATTCTATTGGAATATAATCTTATTTCCCTGCTTAAATTGCATTTTAAGAAGTTATTACTTCTTTTTCTGATATGGATTACGGGAAACCCAACAGAACTTTTATAGGGGTCACGTTGAAAAAAAAAAATAAATAAATTGAAATTTTAGCAAACAAAGAGCAGAGTAATAGTTATTTAGTCATTAAACAGCATAAAAAGCCTGAGAAAATGCTTCAGTTCATATTATACCTTTTTTTTTTAATAACATCTTTTTTTTACCCTCTGATGTAAATTCCCTGGGGGAAATATGTCTACTTTTTGGCTTCAGCAAAACTTAAAGAGAGCTTTCATTTGCTAAAATAAAGGGGAAGAAATATAATAGACATGAGATCAAAGCATCTGAGCAGCTGCAGCTCCTAAAACAAAATACTTACTTACATAGACTTATTCCCAACTATTCTTTTGTCTTTGCTACATCACTTTTATTTATTCATTTTCTTGCATCCACTTTTTATGCTTCTGTCTTTGGGTCCCACTTTTAATAAGATTTGTTTTATGAGATTTTTGAGAAACTGCGGTAGGCTACCTGCCGCCTGCAGCCATTTCCACGTGGTGCAACCTGAATACATGAATATGAAGGAAGTGAAAACTGCTTTATAATCCGTTTTTATTGGAAAAATGCTGACCTAGTATTGTAGTTGTTATTTTTCTAAAGAAAAGGAAGTGGATCTCGTAATTTTTAGAATCAGCACCTGACCTGCTGCAGATATAAAGGAAACCTAAAGGAAGCCAACCTTTTCCTGCGGGTACAGCTGTCCGACCGTCCGCCCCAAAGCTCCCGTGGTGTCGTTCACCGTCACCTTCCCCTCAGTCCATCCTTCACTCCCTTTGTCCAGCAATAAATATGTATCACCCCCATGCTTATATTTTTGTCCCCTCTCTTTAGGCAGTTTGTAGAGGTAAAACCTGATTTGCACAGAAAAAGACAGCAGAGGATTAACGCAGGAGCAGTAAGAAGTTTAACAGAGTCTTCAACTTTTTTTTTTTACCTCAAAGTATTGGAATTTTGGCATGAAATAAAATATTTACCAGTCAACAGCTTCACCCTGGTCGTTGTAGCAGCTGATTGGGGATGCGTCGCCCCCTAGTGGCGCAAATAAAAACAGCAGGGGAAGTGTCAGATGCATCTAGGAAGAAAAGGAGAGTAATTCATTAAAATAAAAGTCCTTCAGGCCTGCAACTTCTCATGATTATATTACATTATTTTCAACATTTTACAATCAATACTGATGTAGCATTTTGCAATAAGAAAAACAGTTGATGAAATAATTTATCTACTTTTTTAAAAGCTTCATGAAAATATCAGCAAACAGTTCAGACGAAAACAGACTTCCTCATGCAAACTGAATTTATTTCAAACTGCTCATTTAATGATTCAAAATTACTACAATGATTAAACATAAAGTGGATAACACAATATTTCACAGAATGTTCAAGATGACATACTACCAGCTTGTTTGTTTAAATATTCTAAGTCTGTCAAAGTTTTTTTCTTTCTTTTTTTCTTAGAGCAGAATATGGTTTAGCAGGGTTTTTTTTCTAGGTTTCTGTCCAAAAATGTCCCCTGTAAATACATGCTGCACAGCTCAGACACTCCTTAAGCAATGCCACAGTCCATTATTTGATAAATCTCATTAAATTTGGCCAATTTAATCCCAAGATCCCCGCTCCCCTGACTGACCTCAGGACGGCAGTTCTTCCGAGCTGATTTATGAAGCTGTTTCTGCAAACAGCAGGTTTATTTTGGAGGTGGGCTGATGCTTCTCTCAGGTCCTGTTTCCAGGCTCTGCTGTTTTCTTATAGCTGCGAGTTTCAGTCAACAGCTTTGGCCTCACTTCTTCTTTTAACTTCTTAATATTTCTAAGTTCCTTGGTCTTAACAGAGAAACAGCACATTAAGCTCAAAATATCCCCAGATTTAAAAAAAATATGTTTTTGTGTGGACACTTTTGTGTGGACAATTTCAGAGCCAGCCTGAAGGCGCCAGTTTCCTAAACGAAGTATAATAATTCTTTACAGTCTTCCATTTTAATTCCACTTCTGCTTTGTCTCATAGATAAACAAAGCAAATTGTTTCCTTATAACTACTTTACCACAGAGTATTAAGGCCATATATGGAAGCCCGTTTCCACCACTCTGTCAAAAAAATAAAAATAAACGATCTCATTATAATGAGACAGAATCTCATTATAAAAAAACAAACAAAACTGAATGTTGGAATAACTATGCAGTCATATGTTTACATCACTTTTTATCACTGCTGCTTACCTTATCAAGGCTGCACTTTAAAAAATTAAATAGTCTAGACAGCTGTACTTAACAAATGTTCTTTTTGTTTACACTTGTGTGTAAAGAATGACAAGTACAATCTAAGTTTATAATGAGTTACAATCTCATCATGAGATACTCTCTCATTATTTTGAGATACTATTTCATTATAATGAAATAGCAACTCTAAATAATGAGATACTCTCTCAAAATAATGAGAGAGTATCTCAAAATAATGAGATAGTAACTCTAAATAATGAGATACTATCTCAAAATAATGAGATAGTATCTCATTATAATGAAATAGTAACTCTAAATAATGAGATACTATGATAGTATCTCATTATAGTGACGTACTATCTCTTTATTTTGAGATAGTATCTCATTATTTAGTTACTATCTCATTATTTCGAGATAATTTCATTTCCTTTTTTTAACAGAGTGGCGGAAACTGGCTTCCATAGGGCCAGGCTAGAGTTTTTTGTTGTTTTATTTTCTTCCGAGAATTAAGCCGTAATATCATGCTAAGTTGGTGTGCTAAAAGATTTCCTTATTTGTGAAACTGATGCCAAAGTATAACTTCGCATGATGCTCAACATTCCTCCTTTTAGTGAAGAAGGTTCTCCTTGTAAAAGTTGTCATAAACAACTTTATTTTCGTATTTTTACGACTTTATTCTGGTAATTTTAAGCTTTTATTCTCATAAAATTATGACTTTATTCTCGAAAGAAATAAAACTATCTAGCCTGGCTACATCGTAAATTAACAATAACTACTTTAGCTGTTAAATAATAATGAAGCTACACCGAGTTCAGAGTGATTAAGTGTAGTTTATACAAACCTCTACCTAAAGTCTCTTCAATGTTGTCCTTTAAAACTCTCACATGGTGAGAAAACACTTTCTGTTTCTTCCTTGTATCCGCATCCTGGTTGTTTCTGCTTTAATTTATTTTTTTCAATAAAACTTTATTAACAAAAGTGACAAACAGCATAAAAAACCATATCAAAACATCAATTAATACATTACAAGCGTGTTAATAGTGAAAAAGAAAACAAAAGAGAGTTACAAAAAAAAGAAAACAAAAGAGAGTAACAAAAAAAAAGAAACTTTTTTGCTTTAAATTAACCCCACAAGGACCAGACAGTGACGTCACGGTTCCGGAAAAAAGTTCAAAGCTTCAAGGCGGCATTTAAACGGGATTAACTTAATGAAACCACCCTACCAACATGCTTAGACTTTCTGTTTTATTTCGTTTATGTTCATTTAAATCCTTTTGATTTCTAAAGCTACCTGAATGGTGGCCTGACCTTAATAAAATCAACCAGCAGGAAGTCACGTGATCAATGACGAGCTTTCCGGAAGTGTATCTATTTACCAAATATGTTCTCTGAGAGAAACATCTCTGGTTAGATTGTGGAAAACCACAACAGTGGCTTTCTTATTCAGGGGAAATTACTAATCCACTGAACTAAATAGCAGCTCAGTCAGAGCTAAATACATGGATTTCACAATAACTTTCTCTTATATCTTTGTGCTATTAGCTGAATGTATGCCTTCCATCCCTTTGCCTTATATAAAACAATATAACTAAGCTCTTTGCAGTTTATCTTATCTCATATTTTTGCCTTTTTGGTTGTAAAGGACCCCATCTCTGTTTTTATTCTTTATTAATAAACAAAATACAATATTTGTCCAACTTATTTTTGAATTTGCTTTATATAATTAATTAATACTTTATCAATCCAAAAATGGAAATAAGGTGTGATTGTAAATTATTTTATGGGATTTCTGGAACAAGCTGGACTAGATGTTGATAGCGGAGCAAGATCTGTTGCAGCCGCTTCTGATGTGATCAACCATTAAATAGCCCTTATTAGAGGTTGTTGTTGATAAGAGCCATTTCAGCCATGTCTAAAACCCCAAGTTTCACTTTCTGTTAACCTACTTTATACTTTTTATCTACTTTATTTGCAGCCTACCATCTTAAAGAACAAACAAAACTGTTTTTTTTTAGCTTTATTTCGATTTAATTCCACATGTTTCAGTCTCACGGAATAAATGTTGCGTTTTAAAACAACTCAGCTGACGCAATATGAGATTTTTTTTGGGAGGGGTTGTTTGATATGAGCTTATCTGCCGATTAAATTTCTTTCTTTTTTTTTTTTTTTTTTTTTTTTTTTTTTACAATAGATGAAGAACTACTTAAATTATGTTTTTATTATACATAAATAGATTAACTAACTCTGCAGGTAAAAAAGGAATGACCTTAGGGTTAGGATTAGAATTCATTTGGTGATAACAACCTACTGAGTATGGAAGCCTGTTCCTGCCACATGAAAATAAAAAAATACAGAATAGAAAGTCATAATTATGAGATTCAAATTCATAATTCCGAGTTACAAAGTGAATTATTATGAGACACAAAGTTTTAAAGTCAAATATTTCATAATTATGACTTTCTATTTAATATTTTTACTTTGATGTGGCGGTAATGGGCTTCCACAACTGAGCCTGTATAGGAGGCACAATCTGAAGCCATTCTATGGGACTAATAACCAATAATAATCGCCATTTAATGGGATGATAACATACGAAGCTGCTTCCTGTAGTGGTCTGTGTTGCAGAGGTCCTTGACATGCCTCTGAATAAAAACACTGTAATTATAAAACAATCTAATAAATTTTTTTCTCTGGTTTGTCCATATTACCTGAGGTTTTGTCATTACTACCATTATATTGTAAGACATAGATTAAAATAAATACATGTTATGCAATTAAATGCCATTGTATATATGTTACTTAGTGAAATAACTTTCACCATTTGTTTTTCTGTAAACACACACCCAACTGACTGTGTTGGGACAACAAATCACTATGATCTGAGAACAAATTTATTTGAGAATATATTTGTAAAAAATCGCTCAACATATAACATATTTTAGTTGTTTATTCTTAACGTAATAACTGAACTTCATCTGTTAGCTGCTATGTAAACACAGGAATATGAATGTGGTTGAAAACCACAAACAATAAAGGGATGATACCAAACTTCATCATGGATTTTATGTTTGAGGATCAACACTCATCTTGAAGATTTTAGAATGTGTCAAAATATCTTTTAAACCGTTTAACCGTTCAAACCAGTTTTCAATGCAAATACTATAGCTGAATAATAATATTTGGTAAAATGTTTTATGAAGCAATTTGCCTAAATCAGAAATCAGTAACCTAAATTAGTAATTGATTAATCTTCTGCTAATGTTTGCTACGTTTGGGTTAGCATCATATTCGTTTCAACTCTTAGTGGAATAAAGTTCATCTAAACTTTATAAACAACAGCTCAGAACATGCATCAGGTTAACAATCACATCAGTTTCTGTTGGTTTGCCTGCTTAACAGAGAAACACATTAAATGATCAGAAATCATCTAAAAAATGGTGTAGTTGTAAGATCTTTCCCTTACATTGCCAGACCTTTAACCTCTATTGATCTCTTTTTTTTTTTCCTGAGGCGTCCCCAAAGTTCAGCCAAGCTTCACAGACAACCTCACCTGGACTGGAAACACCACCTCACTGGTCAAAAGGCCACAGAAGTACATGTACATGTACCACCTTCTACAGAAGCACCATAGAGAGCGTTCTGACCAGCTGGCTCACTGTGTGGTGTGGAGGCTGCAGACTGGAAAAAAGTGAGGAGAGTGGTGAGAACAGTAGAGAGGATCATCAGGGCTCCTCTTTACTCCATTAAAGACATTTCATCCCGAGCCCGTAACATCATCAGTGACCCCTCACATCCCCACCATGGACTGTTCTCCCTGCTGCCCTCTGGGAAGAGGCTTTGCAGCATTCGATGCAGGACCTGCAGATTACCGTATTTTCCGCACTATAAGGC